TTTTTTTTCAAGAAGCTGTTTAAACTACTTGTTTAACTAAGATTTGGTTGTTGGACAATTCACAGGTTGGGTAATGAGCAGACAGAGAAAGTGAAGTTAATATGAAATAACTATGTTGAAGAGTGACGTGTATTAGGAAGCTTAGGGCTTAATGCTTGCAGGAGGAAATAACTCAATTGAGTCTAAACTGATTCCCTGTTCTGACACAAGTCTCCCTACAGCTGTGAGGATAACTTAACAACATATGAAATGCCAGTGGCTATTGCAGGTCTCAAGGCAAACGTATTTCTCTCAAACTGGATAGAGGATGTGCACTTGACTCCTTTCTAATCAATCCTTTCACCAATGCCCATGTCTTGTTTTTGTGGCACAGTGCCTGCCATTTAATCAGAGCCAAAGAGAGGAAAAGAACAGCCTGTGAGTTTTCCAGGGTTACCCAAAGCAAGGACTGCATTACCTATGTGAAGGGTTGAGGTAGGCTGGGGTATGGGCTGTGCCAAGCAGCATTTTTTTGGGAAATGGAGAAGCCTGTTGACAGTTCTGGCCTCCAGTATACTGACTGGTAAAAGGCAGCTGCTTGGACAGAGGTGCCATTAACTGAGTGACCAGAGTGAAAGCCTAGGAAGATCCTTAACAAAAGGGAAGAGTGCAGTACTCTTGTCTAACAAAGGTGAAAAGGGTCCTTTCAAGGGTCCTTTCAAGCCTTTTGTTCTCCAAGAGGCAATGAGGAGCCTGGTAAGATGCTGGGGACATAGACTTGAGCCACTAAGAGCAAAATGGCAAACTTGCTCAGATAAGAAATACCAAATATATTTTTCCTTTACTTCCCTTACCCCAGTTATATCAATTGATGCAATTTGTGGTGAACTTTACCATGTTCCTGCCCATGCCCTGAGCGTTGGACTGTATAGAATAAAGAGTAGCATGAGGTGGCGTTGTAAGTGTTGCAGATCAAGTCTGTATTTAATACATAGCATTCTTTTAATGGATATAAAAATAGAAGGAGTTTTGTCTCTGTTGCTTTGTATGCCTATGGAATTTGCAGGAAAAACAGAATGGAAAGAGCAAAATATTCTTGAGCAGTGAATCCTACCTGTGGTAGGATTTCTGTAGGAGGGACTGCAAACCTAGCCAAAACTGGGGGTGGAAGAAAATGTAAATGCTAAGACTATTTTAACATGTTTATTAAGCATAGAAATAGTAGTTCACTAGGGGATAAAATGATACTATTGATTACTGAATTATCTTTTGTGAATGATAAATCAATTCTCAGATATTTGATAGCTGTGTAACATTTCAGACCAGTCCTTCGCCAACTTCAACCCAGTCACCAGAAAGCATGATGGATACCTCACTGAAAAAAGAGAAACCAGCCATTTTGGATCTGTACATACCACCTCCACCAGCTGTTCCATATTCTCCTCGGTATGCAAATAAACATGCACTACTGAACAAAAAACTGCTTTATCACACTTGATTCTGAGCTGGTTTGCTGTTAGAGCTCTGTGCAAATTAGCCTGAGGAAACTGCAGGTCTCTTCTAGATGCTTAAATGCAGAGGATTGCTTATGCTTAAATGCGTAAGCTACCATGATTGTAGTAGATTTTATTGTTAGAATATTATTGTATGCCTCATAGATCAGAGTTGTTCCCAAAACACAAACAGATTCCGTGCCTGGTTTTGCGGTGGGGTTATGTTTTTGATTCTGTTTAAATATGACTGCACATAGCAAGAAGTCATTTTTTGTCTGTAACTTTTTCCACTGTTATTTTGGTTTTGTGTTTTGTTGGCTTTTTTTTTAAGCTAGTTAAGTTACTGTCATGGGAGTTAGGATAGCAAAGAACCTGTTTTAATTTGTTGAACTTGCAGGTTGTATAGAACAGAAGTGTTCCCACTGAAGGGAAGGGAGAGTAAATTCATTATACTTATTTTTTTTTTCTGTGCAGTATAAGCTATAAAAATGCAGACCTCTGTACACAAAGAAGGAGGAAGGGTACAGTGGGGAGTGTGGTAGGGCTAGCTTTTGTGTGTTCTCAAGTCCATGTTGACTCATGCCAGAACCCTGCCAGCTGATCTGGGAAGGCGAGGGACAAAAGGGTATTCAGGCAGGGTGTGCTTTCTGCCCTGCCCTGACACTTTACGTTACATGTAGATAGCCCAGTACGGAAGTGATGACCTTTTGCTGCAAGACTCATATGAGAAGGGAGCTTGCCTCTGGTCATGTAAGGCCTGATACAGAGACAGAGGTTGTACTACTGCAGTCTTTAGGTCAGTACCAGAGTGTGGGGAGAGGGTTTCTCCAGTGTTAAGTCTCTTTACCAAAGTTGGACCCACCTTGACCTGCTGGCTCCCTGTTTTTCATGCTGATGTGTGCTCAGTTCTTAAGAAAAAAAAAAAAGTAATCAAATTTCTTGGCCTAGAAACAAGTCTGTAGTTTTAACTGCTGAGTTTAGAATGCCTTGGTCTTTTCTTTGTTGCATTTCAAGCACGTTGGTGAATTATGTGCATGTGCTCATTTTATCTCTTTCCTAAAGAGTCACAAAATTATATCTAGCTTCAGATGCCTTTAGACCTGAATCCCTGTTAACAGGGAAGGAAGTAGTAATGTGAGCTGTAAAACTTGTCCTGGTTGATGTGTGGAAAGGGGAAGGCTTCTTGACTTTGACATTTAAAGAAAGGAAACATGGGAAGCTGTGACAGCCAGGAAGAGAAAGGGCAGTTCTCTCACCTTCTGTTTGGTTATTTAATTTCCCCTCTACATGTTTTGGTCTTCTCTTGAAACTGTGGTGCATTTGTGTGGTCATTTCTTTTTTCTTCCTCATCATCCTGTTCACTCTTCCTTGCATGGGCTTTCTCTGGTGCACGCTGAGGAGGCAGAGAGCAGTGGTTGGTTTCCCTCCCTACAGCACAATGTCCACATGGTGGTGGTGTAGGAGAGTTCTCTACATGCATAGGGTTGTGGTGCAATGTTTCTGCACATTTTTTGCATAAATATTTCCCTCCCATTCACTGAGCTCTAGCATTTCTCTTGATGGAGAGCTGGCAAAATCATGTGCTGACCAGGGGGCTGCTGTGAATACTGGGATATATATATGCTTAGACAGTCAGGTCTGTATTTTTATGCCTGACTTGGCTGATGGTTGCTTCAAGCAATAAGTTTATAGCATGTACAGGAAATGAAAAAAAAAAAACAAACAATACAGAACTTGGAGGTTAGCTTTCCTTCCAAAATACTCACAAGAACTGGTTGTAAAAATGGCTGTTCCTGGCCTTTGGAATAAAGGGAGTTCCTGCAGAAATAACTCAAAATCATCTGTATATGCACTGTGAATTTATTACTGAAACTCTCAAGGGGGTCTTACTTATGGATAGAGAGAGAAAGAAGGTGATGAATAACAGTGGCAGTTATTGGATGCTTAGAATGACTGAAAAGGATAGTCCCTCAGATTGGAATAGGTATTGCTATTAAACAGAGATGGATAAATCTGTGTATGCACTTCTCTGTCACAACTGTGTACTGAACAGGCACTGAATCAAAAGCTTTGATACCCTTGGGGCAGAAAGGTCTCATTTCTCAAAAGCTTTTTCAGAGGTGGTACCTTTAAACTTCTCTGTCTGTTAAATTACTGGCTTATTAAGAGTTAACTAGCATGAGGGGGGTAGATTTCTTTTCTTCTTGTTAAATATGTTTATAATGAAGTATTCCATCACCTGACTTGGTTTTTTTCTCAGCTTGTTTGCAGCACAATGCCAGTTGTCAGGAGCATGACTGGGGGCTAGAAGTATCTTTCAAACCTACTCATGTCTGTAGCATGAAACTCTTTTAAGCTACTAACTGAAGCAAAATGTCCTTTCAGAGATGAAAAGGGGAGTTTTGTATATGGAGGAGGCAACAAACCCTGTCAGCCACTACCTAGATCCAAGGGTGCCGAGTCTCCCAATTCTTTTCTGGATCAGGAGAGTCGAAGGCGACGGTTTACTATCGCAGATTCGGATCAGTTGCCTGGGTATCCCATGGAACCAAATATCCTGCCAGCCAAGATGAGGGAAAAAACACAATCGTATGGTGAGTTCATTCTTCTTTCATTATTGCTGTTATGATAAACTCTTTGGTCAATTTGGAATAATTTGTGTCAGAAAACTTTTTGTTAGACTTGATGGATATTAAGGGCAGTCTATGCAAATTGTGGATGTAAATGAAATTCAATATCTGAAATAATTTCACTTAAATGCTGTTATGTCTTTAACAAATGTAATTCAGCTGGGCTCTGCTGCTATGGGTGGTCAAACCAGCAGGAGTATGGCTGTTCAATCTCAGCACATTGTTTTCCTGTATTTCACCAGTGAAAGTATCTTGAAATATTTTTTCATGCAATCTTAACTGCTTATTGGTGTATCTCTCCTTTTGCTTAATTGTGAAAAGTATCAAATCAAAAATTGGTTTCCTAAAGTTAATGTAATTCCTCATAACCTTCTCTGTTGCTTTTAGGAAAACCTCGTCCTTTGTCAATGCCTGCTGATGGGAGCTGGATCGGAGTTGCAGAACCCTTCTCCAGGCCTCGAGCACCAGGGAGAAAAGGCAAGGTTTTAAGTCTTCCCACTCTTTCTCTTCCTTTTCTCTCCAAAATTTCTATGGGATGAACTGAATGGAAGCATCTGAATTAGGAATGAAGAATTAGTGTTAGCGTATTACTGAACCGATCCAAGATGATGATTCTTGGTTTTAAAAGATGATAATTGTGAAATTCGTGAGGCTGTTCAGTGCTGGGGCTCGAACTTTTGTTGTTCCATCTTAGCATTCTTGTGTTAAAAGTAGGCTAGAATGACTAGGGCAGATCTGTGCATGTCTGCTTATAGCACAGGTTTACCATTTTGTTGTTACATACCACCCCTTCACTTTCTTCTGCATTTAATGTTGCTCATAAAACTTTTTTTATAAGTCTATTTGTTCAGCTCACTGTGGAGGCTGTTGTAGAAGCAAGCTTATTCTCACAAGTGAAATGTAGGGCCTTTCAGGAGTTCCTTTTTGCTGTGACTGCTGTTAGAAAAACAACATATTCTGCAGATGTCACAGAATGGCAGAGAGGCAGAAGCTGGTAATGTTGTGTGTTAGGTTGGGTGGCTTTTTGCTTCCCCACTGCCCTTCTCTCTTTTTCCCCTTTTGCATCTGAAAGGCTGTGGGTCTTGTTAGACTGGGAAATAAGAGAGAATGACTATTTATTTTAATCTTGATATCAGTTATGAAAGCTGATGTGTAGTTCTAGGGAAAACAGAAGCTGGAAGCTTTTACTTTATTTGAAAAACCTGCAGGGATATTAGAAACAGGCGAAGTAACAAGTCTAGCAGAACGATCACCAGGTGGCAGGGCTGGTTTGTTTGTGTGTGTGTGTGTGTGTGTGTGTGTGTGTGTGTGTGTTGTATGTGTGTGTGTGTGTTCGGTTTTGCTTTTGGTTTTGTGTAGGCTTTTTTTTAACACCTGAAGTGTGCTTAAGTGCTGCAGGCTTGTATGTAAGTTGTATTGGGTCAGAACCAAAGGCCTGTCCACCCCAGTAAGATGTCTCTAGTAGCAGCCATGGCCAGGTGTGTGGGGAAGAGTAAAACCAGAGAAGGCATCATAAATCAATAGTTGAAACCAGGGAAGTGCTTACATCTCTATCTGCAAAGCTTTTTTCTGTTGTCCGGAGTAATGTTTGTAGCTTTTGAGTTAGATGTGAGTTACCTTCAGATAAATGTAGATTCAACACTGGTCTTTTAGCATCCTGAATGGCACATGTTATAAGAAGGTTTGTTAGGCCTCACTCATGATGGCAATTTGCATGAAGGTCATCTGTACTAGCAGTTTTGGTGTGTGTGAATCTGGAATTTACCAGTCAAACAGTATCCTCTTCGTGTGTGAATTTCTTTTGTTGTTCTGTGTGTTGCTTAAAAAAAGAAAAAAATAAAAGGTGCAAAAACCTGAGAAGTCTATTGATATATGCTTGTGTCCAGGTGTGTTACGAAAGGTAACCAAAATCTGGGTAATTTGAAATGTAACCAGAATATTTTTATAAGAATAGAAAATGTTAATGGAAAGTTTTGAAGTCAGCAGTAATTGGTTTTCCTCCTCCTGTTCTCACAGGTGAAGATGTCCTCTGCAGGTACTTCAGTAATGAAAGGATACCCCCGACCATTGAAGAAAGTCCCTCCACACAACACCCCCTCTCAAGGCCAGTGTCTGACAAGCAGTTAGTGAGAGGAACAGATTATATTCGAGGCAGCAGGTGTTATGTGAATGCAGACCTCCACAACAGTGCAACAATTCCTTTTCAAGAGGAAGGTGCTAAAAAATCCTCTGTTACATCATCCACAAAATCTTCCTCCACAGAGCCCTCGTTGCTAGTCAGTTGGATCACAAGACTGAAATTGTTGACTCATTGACTATTGTTCGCAGGACTGTTACCAAGTGCCTTTGCTCATCGGTCAGACTTCTCTACTTTTCAGCTTAACTGATGCATAGTGACTAATGCAGTGTTCTTTTCCTGGAGAATCTTACGTTTTTGCTGTTTTGTTTGTGATTTTTGATGTATCAGAGGGTTTCAAAGTGCAAGGAGGGAAGAAAGAAAAAGATCAAGTTCCTCTTCCTGGCCAAAAGCTGAGGGCATTTATTTTCCCTGGAAATTAGTAAAATTTCAGTGATACAGAGGCTACACGTGACCTGAAACATGCATAATGACTCAGAGGAAATAATTGCATTACCGTGAAATCCAGTGGCACTCGAGTTGTCTGAATGCTCTGAGGCTGGTGTCAGAGTATGTGGAGCTCAGCAAAAGTTGTGTTACTCTCCTGACCAGGAAAGATAAGCAGGGAAATGGCAGTTTCATGCAAATTAGCGTTGGTGTTGCAAGTACTGCATGAGACCAACCTTGTGAGGAAGAAGTACTAGTGTTGCCATTCTTTCTCTGATATCCAGAGATCTTAGGAAGAGAGTTCTCTTATTCAGAGATCTTAGGAAGTTGGACTAATTTAATTATAATTAAATCCAACCTGATATATAATCCATTTTATTGAAATGACAGTAAAGATAAAGAGCACTGAACAGCTGCAGTGCTCATCTATAAAGATACATGGATTGCTACAACATGCCAAGGAAATGCATCTGTAAAGGTGGTAAAAGAATATATATTTTTTCCTTAATTGTTTAAGAATGGTTTGCTGTTAACCAAAGTAAGCTTTTAAAGACAGTCCTGTTGGACTTACGAGAAGTTTTACAGTGGTTCAGTTTTTGAATGATGTGTTGTTTTTCTGAAAAATATGTGCTATGATACATTATAATTGTAAGACATCGTGCTATTTTCTATATAGCTCAAATTTCCCCACCCCCGAATTTTAAAGGAGCACTGGGTATTTTGGGAGGCCAATAAAACTTGTTTAACAAAAGAAGAGGATATTAAAGAGGTATTGTTTAAAACTGAATGTACATAAGATTGTTAGTATGCAAAGAGTTGTGCTTAAGTAATTTAAATGTTAGATATAGCTGTATATATTTTTTTACACTTAAACAGATAGTTCGTACCTTCCTGTCTGTGGTACTGGGCACAGATTAGTTAAATGAAAAGAAAAAAGAAAAGTCTTCTATATTCCTTGCTAATTATCAGACTAACTATATTCATATATGATGCATTGCAAACAGCCTTTACTCTTTTGGTCTTGCTGGAGAAAAGAAGTTTGTATTTAATAATTGGTGGGGGAAGAGGGAGGTTAAGTGCTAGTTTGCTCTTTGGACTGGAGCAAGAATTGTACGTGATAACACGAGTGTTAAAAACATACCATAATTCTGGCTATGAAGATGTGACCATTCTGCTGCAACAAGTTAATGAAGTTGTGCTACAGCCCTCTAGAGATACAGGCTGTCAAATTCAGTTCTCAATTAATTACATTTGATTCTGACTCACTCGTGACTTAGATGACTTTTGATCAACGTGGATTGTTATATGGCTGTCTTGTGCTGCTTTTCTCCATCCCCACCTGAGAAGGCAGTCTGTACTAGAAAAGTGGCCAAACACAGCTGCAGTGCAGTTACATTCTAGACCAGTTTGGTCGTCCCTCCGAGGAGAGAGCTGAAACTGTCATGTTGTGGGCTCTGTGCTGTAGTATAGTCCAGCCCCAAATCAACTGTTTTAATTTAATCTACTTTAATAACTTTGATTTCAAGTCAGAGATGTTGTCTAAACAGGGCTTTAAAATAGAATTTTTGCTTGTCCTTTAATGTTCTCTTTTCAGTGGTTTAAAAGTTAATGGTAAGGATACATGTTGGTGTATGCATTCATGTATAGTTATGTGGAAGACTCTATGGATGCACTCAGTTTCTTTGGGTTGTACCTGGCACATTTTTAAGACGCTGAAAAGCTTTCTGCCTTTGGTTGGTTGGGTTTACTTGAAATTTGATCTAAGAGTAGTGAAACAAGCTTGCCCTAATTTAACAAGTAGATTTAAATCACTACAGCTATGAGGAAAGAGGAATTGGTAAGCATTTAGGCATAGCAACACTTTCAAAATCTGTCTTGTTGCCACAATACAAGCTAATTCCTCCTCCACCCAATAAAACGCTGGAGCACGGAGAAGACATTGGTAGATTGTTACCCAACCTACCAATGTCCTCTTTGCTCCAGCATCCTAATAATGCTGAGTTAAGGTACTGAATTGGACCTTTTGTCAGTCAGTCATAAGCACATTCAATACTTAATTGTCCAGGGAAAAAGGTTCTTATGAACAGAAGAAATAGAGATACTACTCTGGAAATTACCAGAAGTGGTATTGTGGTTTCACAGAATGGTTGAGATTGAAAGAGGCCTCTGGAGGTCATCTGGTCCAAGGCCCCTGCTCAGGCAAAGCCATCTGGAGCAGGTTGCCCAGAACTGTGCCCAGAGGGCTTTTGAATATCTCAGAGGATGGAAACTTCACAGCTTCTCTGGACAACCTGTGCCCGTGTTTGGTCACCCTCACAGTAAGACAGTGTTTTCTGATGTTCAGTGGGAACCTCCTGTGTTTCAGTTTGTGCCCATTGCCTCTGGTCTTGTCACTGGACACCACTGAGAAGAGCCTGGCTCCATCTTTTTTACACCTTCCCTTCAGGTACTTACACACATTGATAAGATCCTCTTGAGCCTTCTCTTCTCCAGGCTGAACAGTCCCAGCTCTCAGCCTTTCCTCATAGGAGATGTGCACCAGTCCCCTCACCATCTTGGTGACCTTTCATTGTATTCTCTGTGTATATCTCTTTTGTACTGGGAATCACAGAACTGGACACGGTACCCCAGGTGTGGCCCCATGAGTGCTGAGTAGAGGGAAAGTATCACCTCTCTCAAACTGCTGGCAATACTTTGTCTAATGTGGCTGAGTTTCCACTGTAAATTGGCCAAGATTATTGAAAACAGTCATGCATGGCTTTTCAATCAGAAAGGCAAATAATGTTGGACTTCTGCCCCTCTTGAGCTTTATCCATCATTATTGATGGGGATTTGACCACTGCAGTGTATGTATGCAGAATAAACGTAGCAGAACATGATATACTTGTTTTTGTTGCAAAAGCCACACCCCTTACTACTGTGAACTTAACTGTATGCTCTAGTAAGCTACCCTGACTTCTTGATACTCTTGTCTGCAAATGCTGCTTACTGCTTGCTATGCTGCGAAGTTTTTTATGTAATGTATGGTATGTAGAAGTCTTTCTCTAGAAAGCTGGTACTTTACTGGCTTCAGCAGAGGGTTGCAGTTTTTTCCCCTCATTATCAGATGGAAAAGCTCCAATAGCTGTTCTCAATAGTAATAGATAGGCTCTTTTGAGTTGCAGTATAAAATTGTAGATATTGGATGTTGTACCCTTCTCTAATTTTTAATGCAGAGACTTTGCTTAGGGAACAAGCAGTTTAACACAGTAACCTAAACTGTGGCCACATCTATGGTTTTTGAAACATCGGGGAGGTAAGTGCAGTTGAAAGACTTACAGCATCAGACTCTCCTCTTTCTAATATCTGTAGACTAGAACCTTTGTTTCCTATGCTGGTAACATTGATTACCAAAGAGCACATGTATCAGGAAAACTTAAAAGAACAGTAAAATAGCTGTAACTTTTAGCACTTGGTAAGGTCAATTAAACACCAGATGACTTTTTCCTTTGTCTGTATAGCTCTCTGATATATGTAACTTGACCTTCTTCCAAGTGTCTGCATCTTTTTAAATACCTGAACTGATCTTGCCACACAGCCCATACAGTTAATGTATTGAAGGCAAGATACTCCTCTAATGTAAATTTTTATTGTTGTTGGGCTTTATGGTTAAGCACTCATCATTCACTCCAGATATCTTGATTCAAGTCTTGATTCAAGTGAGTTTTAATTGGCCCATTTTGTCTCTTTTCCTTAGAGAAAGGAAGGAAAAGAAAGGTATATCTGTGGGAGGCACATGTTCATAAATTATGTCAAGTCCAAGGGGAGGGAACAGTCCTCTTTCTTCCTGCATAGAGAGAGAAGGTCTGAAGAATTTTGAGAAGTCTGTAAGTCCATAGCCACCTGCAGTCCGGGTATTTTGAGGGAGGACCACTGTTCCTTAGCCTTTCTCTGATCAATATTACTGTTAAGCAGTATGGCCAATACTAGCAGAAGGAACCTCACTTATCTCTTCAAGGGCTTTTTGGCAGGTGGATGTTAATGCAATCGGTTGAATAAACTGCTGCAGATGTGTAACTGCAACTAATCAAGTCCTACATTTTGATTCAGAGAAACACGGGAAGTCCCTCACTGTATGAACACCAAATGAGGGGGAAAATATAAGTACCCTCCTACAAGTGTTGTTGGAAAAGAAATAAAGTGAAGTTGCAAGGAACTGGTAGAAGGCAGATCTTTAAGAGCAGGTTTTAGACTGTTCTGTGATTAGCACTTTGACTTAAAATGTTTCACTTCCATACATGACCCCTCTTCCCTAGCAAAGAATAGATTTAAAACCACAGCTTTTTCTATATCTGTGCACAACGTGCAATATTAACTAGCTGATGTTTAGCAAATAGCAACATGGCACAGATCATTTACCACTATTGTTACCATTTGATAGAAATGCTGCTGTTTGTTTGGGAGAATGGTTTAAAATGCAGGAAAGACCTGTAGCAGTGCATGTCACTCCTGAGTGTAGTTATTTTTCTTCTTTACACTAACAGTTTCAGTTAGAAGTTCTAGTGCATGGAGAAGTGTTAAAAATTCAAATTTTGCAGATAGTTCCTTTTGCGTCTTAATCTCATTTGAAGAGGGTGAAATCTGTTCTGTGTTTGTGGAATAATTTCTCCCCTCTCCTCTGCTCTTCCTTATTGTACTGTATTAGTTAAAAAGCAAGGGGAAACATCTGAAAAGTCTGACACACCACACCCCCACCTCCCCACCACCCAGAGAGTAGTGCACTTTCTTTGTCCAAGATGTTAGATTTGAAAGGTGTTGATTGCTTAACTTCTTACTGTGTATAGTCAATACAGAGGCTGCTCTATATTTTGGGGCAGAAAAAAGGATACCAGAGCTAGGAATAAATCAGACAATATCTTTCTGGCTTAATCTAAGAAATGTAGGTAACAAGTTAGAAGCTGTTATTATGCACATACTTGGCTCATCTCTTGGTACTGAAGGTATGTGTATCTGTTATAACAAAAACTATGCCTAGGTTGACTTCTCTAATGAG